TTCTCCCCGGCTTTCATCACCAACGTTATGAGTACGTCGGGCTCTTCCCAGGGTAAACGCGGCAGTTGGGGCACGGCGGGTCGGAGGCGGCTCCGGATGGGGCGGCGCAGCCCCCCGGGGTGCAGGGGGGGCGGCCTGGGGGGTGAGGGGCGGCCCGGGCCCCCTCCAGCCGCCCGCCCCTCCCGCAGGCAGCCCCTACGCGCTCATCGTGCGCCGCTACCTCTCTCTGCTGGATGCCGCCGTGGAGTTGGAGTTCCGTGATTACAGCGGCCCGCGCCTCGACCCGCGCTACCGCGTCCTCATGTTCGAGCACGCGCTGACCGCCGACGAGGCCAACAGGAAGTACAGGTGAGGGGGGGGCAGGGGGTGCGCCGGCGCCCGGCCCTCGTGCAGGCGGTGACCCCCCGGTGTTGCCGGGGATGTGAGGTGCAGACGTGGCTGTGGGCACGAGCTGGAGAGCTGGGCGGGGAGGAACCTGATGAGGATCAGCGGGGAGCGCGTGGGGTTCTGCTCCCTAAGATGAGCGATGGCGGCAGCGGTGCAGGTTGGGAGCTGAGCTGCTGGGAAGGAGTTCTGCAGATAAGGACCTGGGGGTCGTGGTGGCCGACAGGCAACCAGCAGTTGACCACAGGCTGACTGTGGACCAGCAGTGTGTGCTGGTGGCCAAGGAGGCCTGGAATGCAGTGCAGAGAGTGTGGGAGGTGATCCCCCCCCCTGTGCCCTGCCCTGGGGGGACACGGCTGGAGCAGTGCACCCAGCGCTGGGCTGCCCAGGTCCAGGCAGATGGGAACTGCTGGAGGAACCCAGGGGAGGATGCGGAGATGGCGGGGCCTGGAGCAGCTCCTGGTGGGGCCTGGGAGAGCCCTGGGCTGCGTGTGTGGAGGAGAGAAGGCTGAGGGACCTGAGCGGTGCCGATGGAGAGCTGAAGGGAAGGGCAGGGGAGGGGGCCGGGCTCCGTTTGGTGGTGCTGGACGCCAGGACGAGGAGCAGCGGGCGCAGACTGCAGCCCAGGGAGTTCATTGAACGTGAGGAGGAATTGCTGTGCTGTGAGGGTGGCAGAGCCCTGGACCGGAGCCCAGAGAGGTGGGGGAGTCTCCTGTGGAGATCCCAAACCCTTCTGGACGCCGTGCAGCTGCTGAAGGAGCTGCTGTGGGGGGATGGAGCGGGGTGGCTCCAGAGGTGCCTCCCAAGCCCCGCAGCTCTGGGATGCTGTGGTCAGCAAGGGGCCGGGCTGGGGCTGTGGGGTGCTGGGGTTGGGCCGTGTCCCCTCCTGCGCGTCCCCTGACTGCTTTCCCCCTCAGTTACAAAGGGCTGGTGGCTGAGGCGCTGCGGCAGCTGGTGGGGGAGGAGTGCTACCGGCAGGACGAGGTGCTGCCCCCGGGGTACTGCACAGGTAGGCTGCCGGCACCCAGCGGGGGGTTGTGCTGCCCGGGGGGGGGGTCTGAGCAGCAGAGCTCTGCGTTTTGGGGAGGCGATTCGGGCCCGCCGCTCACCCCGGCGCTTCCTCCGCAGACTTCCTGCTGTGGATTAACCGCTCGGGCACGGTGCTGCCCCTCTCCCGCGTCCCCGCAGCCTCCAAGGCCCCCCCCGCCGCCCCCCCCGCCGCCGTCTCCCTGCGCTCCAGCGTCCTGGCGCTCACCTCGGACTTGCAGGACTTTGCCCCCTTTGCTCCGGAGCCCCCCGGCAGCCCCCCGGCAGCGCGCCGGGAGAACAACCTGGCGGGGCGCTTCCTGTCCACGCTCTGCCCGGCCCCGGGGGGGCCCTGCTACCAGCCCCCCTCGGACTATTACTGCGCCCTAAGCAAAGAGTCTTCCCTGGAGAGCCAGGGCAGCTCCACGCTCAGCAGTCCTTCCGAGTGCCTCTCGGCGCAGCCCGCCGGCACCCCCGACTGCTCCCCGCGGGGCTCCTCCGCTGCCACCCTCTTCCAGTTCCCCATCGGGAAGATCCTGGAGGAGGAAGCGGCCGCCTGCCCCGGCCGCGAGCGCTCCTGCTTCCAGGGGGAGCAGCCCCACGAGGAAGCGGAGGGCCGCAGCCCAGCCCCGGCCGAGGACGCCCGCCCTCCGCCCTCGCCGTGCCGGCCCGGCCCGGCCAGGGGTCCCGCCGAGGGGCCGCCAGCGGCCGACGACATTCAGAGGTACCGAGCGGAGCTGCTCCGCGTGTTGCCCCCCCCCCCCCCCCCCCCCGCAGCGCCGAGAGGAGAGGTGCCCCTTCTGCAGCCCGGGGGTCCCTCGGCCTCGGCCCGCAGCGCGGGGTGACGCCGCCCCCCTCCCACCGTCCCGTCCCTGCAGGGTGGTGCTGTCGGTCAACGACAAGTGGCATTACTGCCAGAACTCCGACATCCTGGTGGGCTCACGCGCCATGCGGGACCGGCATCTGCGCCTGCTGGGCTACTGTCTGGTGCAGGTGAGTGCGGGGCCGGGCGGCGCGCGGGGGGCGGCAGCTCGGAGCTGGGAGCGGCCCCTCGGTTCCTCCTCCTGGGCGCTCACCGGCGTTACGGGCGCAGGTCGGCCCGGCCGTGCCGTAAAGCGCAGCTTAAAGCTCCTTACTGCCCTCCTGCTGGCGGCCGCCGTGCCGGGCAGCTGCGGGTTTTGTAACCGATGGTGGATGTGGCTCAGAGCTCCTTGCGGCGCTGGGATCCTGAGCACCGCGGGGGGGACGGGAGCGGGGCTGCGGGGAACGGCACGGAGCTGAGGGGGGGTGGGGAAAGGCTGTGCCCAGAGGGCGGTGGGCACGGAGCGGCTCCCCGGGGCAGCAGCACAGCCCTGAGCTGCCGGAGCTCGTGGAGCCTCTGGGCAGCTGTGAGACACGGGGTCTGGCTGGCGCGTGGTTCTGTGCTGGGGGTTGGACTCGGTGGCCCCTGTGGGTCCCGTTGCTGTGGCTCCGTGGGCTGCTCCTTCCCTCCCCCGCCGCTGTATGCAGCGCTTCTGGTTTGCAGTCTGCTGCCAGCTCGGGCCCTGTGCCGCAGTGACACACAGCTGTGGTTTCCTTCTGCATTTGTGGTTCCAGAGGTCCCTCCTTGCTCTGTTTGGTCATCCTTTGCAAAGAGCCCGAGGCGCTTTTAACTTCTTGCAGAAGCTGCTCCACACTCAGCTGTTCTCGCTCTGCTTGTCCCTGCCGGCTTGCTCAAAGGAGCTGTGCTGCAGCCTGGGACACCGGCGGGGCTCATGGGGGTGCCCTCAGCCCACCCTGCTGGGCCAGGAGCTCCGTGGGACTCCAGGCTTCCTCCCCACCCCTTCAGGGCCCTTCCTGCCGTGCTGTTTCTCATCGGGCCGCTCCCTGGCAGCGGCTCCTGTGCTTTACAGCTGCAGCAGCTGCCTTAGCGGTTCCCCAGGGCTGTGCTTTTCTCACATTTCCTGGGAGGGAGGTGGAAGTGTCCCCTCGTGACCCTGAAGCTGCACGGGGCCCAATGACTCAGAGCTCCGCTGCAGTGCCGTGTGGGGCTGAAGGGAGGCCTGCTCTGCTGGAGGCTGCGGGGTGCTGCCCCGGGGCTGCTCTCTGCCCCCGTTCTATGGGCACGGCGCTGGCAGCCATCCCATAAGGTGGCTCTTATCCTTCCTCATCTGCTCGTGCCCCTTGTCTGTGTGCAGCCGTGCCCCAGCAGCTTGTTCCCCGGTGCTGGAATTCCCCTCGTCATTCTGCAGTCTCCCTTTGCAGACGCGTGGAGCAGCCCTGGGCTCCCCCAGCTCCTCGTGCTGGAGCAGGGATTGCCTTTAGTCCCTCATGCAGGGGCTGTCGGTGTGATTTTGGGTCCTCCCTTTGGGCGCTGTGTGCCGGGCCCCAGGCAGGGCGCCGCAGGGGGGCCGTGGGGAGGCTGCAGCCCTGCCCGGCTCCACGGGGATGAAATTGGGACGTGCGGCACCCGGGAGGCAGAGCAGAGCTGGCGAGCGGCCGTGGAGCGGGGACTGCGGGGCAGCGAGACCCCAGCCGAGGACGGCAGCACTGACAGCCCTTGAAGGCGGTCCCGAGGCCCGTTTCTCCCCCGGGACGCTGCAGGTGGCCGCCCCGTCCCCAGGGCCGGCTGTCCTCCACAGTCTGCGCCGGGCCGGGGGGGGCGGGGGGCGGAGGCAGCTTTGGAGAACGGCGGCGCGCGGCTCCACGCTGACGCTTCTGTCCCTTTGCAGCTGCCCTACACGGAGCTGGAGAAGGTGAGTGGCATCGAGGAGGCCAAGCATTACCTGCGGCAGAAGCTGAGGGAGCTGCGATTCTGAGGGGCTCAGCCCAGCCGGGTGGGCGCTGGGGGGGGCACGGAGCCCCCGGCCCGGGGGGGGTGGGAAACGGAGCTGCCCCCAACCGGGGGCACGGCCGTGCGGGGCCGAGGTGGTGCGAGATATTTATTGCCGATAGGGTGGGGAGGGGGCGCGAGCGGTGTGCGGGGGGGACCGAGGGGATGGGTGGGGCTGGGGGCCCCAGCCCCCGGGCCCGGGGTCACCGCAGGGGCCTGGCGTTCCTGGGGGTCCCCGACACGCTGCTGGGGGGGGGGGGGCTGCGCCTGGCCCCCCAGGGCTGTGACAGCCACGCATTGGGGATGCTGCGGGGCCGGGCGCGGGTGGAGAGGGGGGCGCTTGGGAAGCGGGGAGAACTTTACAATAAAACCGGTGAAAAGTGTGCAAAGTCCGTTCTCTTTATTGGCGTGGGGCAGCGCCCCGCCTGCGGCCCCTGGGCGGCCGGGGGGCTCGACGGCAGCGCTCCCCGACCCCCTGGGCTGCCGGCAGCCGGAGGGGCTCAGCTCCCCTCAGCCCACCGCGCTCGTAACGCCGTTTATTGCCATCGGGGTCACCCCGTTAAAGAAAAGCGGGGTTCTGGAAACACCTGATCGTCGGGTGGGAGCGCGGGGCCGGGGCGGGGCGCGGACCTGCGGCGCTGCAGGGTGGCGGTGGCGGGGGGGCTCCGCCCCACGGCACGGTCGGGACGCGGCCGAGGGACCCCCGACCGCGGCGGAGGCGAGCGGGGCCGGCTGGGCTGCGGGCCGGCTTCTCTTTGGCGGAGCCCCGAAGGCGCGGGGTGCCGGGCACGGTCGTACGTGGGGAGCCGGCCGTGCCCGGCGCGCTGTCTGGCCGCGGGGCTCAAACAGGCATCGGCATCTCGTTGTACTCATCCACGCCTTCCCGTTCGTCCAGGATCGGCTCGGCTTCGTCCGCATCCAGCTGGGGAGGTGCGGGGTGAGAGGCGGCGGGGGCTGCGCCCGGCGCCCCCCAGAGCCGGGCGGGTACTTACACACTTCATCTCGCGGTCGGTGAAGATGCGGCTCAGCAGGCACATGCGGAGTGGCACGGTGAGGATGAGGATGAAGGGGAAGGCCAGGGACGCCACGGTGGACATGACGGCCCAGAGCACGGCCAAGCACGCCAGCTGCAGCCCGGTGAAGAGGTGCATGCGCAGCGTGCGTACCTGCATGGGGGCGGGCGTCAGGGCGCGCGGGACCCTGCGTCCCCCCTCCCCCCTTCCTGCGCCCCTCCCTGCCGCGTGGCTCCCCAGCCCGCACTGCGGCCCTAAGCGAGGCGCCCCGCTACACCCAGCCCTGCCACGGCCCCGGCCCCCCCCGCAGGGCACGGCCTCTCCCACCCCCAGAGCGGCCACGGGACCCTCCGACCTTTTTGACATAGGGGACATCGGGGTGGTGCTTGGGGGGCATCAGCAGCAGCTGCAGGCGCTCGTAGAACTGGATGCCGTTCAGGGAGGTGACGCCCATATAGAGGAAGATCCCGAAGAGCACAGCCAGCGGGATCTGGCGCAGCAACTCCCCGATGACGATGGACAGCCCTAAGGACGGGGGGGAGGGTCGGCAGTGGCGTGCAAGCAGGAAACGGCGGAGCCCCGCGGCCGCGTCCCGGCAGGCACCTACCGACGAGCACGGCCACCAGCAGCCCGGTGACGCGCTGCTCCTTCACCTCCTGGATCTTGGGTTTGTCCCCCGGCGCCACAGCCTTGCTCATGACGGTGAGGGCGTTGGCGTGCGTGACGGAGCGCACGGTGGCGGCGGCGAGCCAGGGCAGCCCGAAGAGAGCGAAGAATCCTCCCATGGCCACGATGAGCAGCAGGTCGAGGTGGAACCCGGAGCCCTTCTGCAGCATCCGCTCCTTCTTGCTGATGATCAGCCTGGGCACAAGGGCAGACTGTTGGCGGCGCTCGGCTCAGCGCGGGTGGGCACGGCTCAGCATGGCACGGCACAGCTTAGAATGGCTCGGCATGGCATAGCTTAGGATGGCACGGCACAGTTTGGCAAGGGTCAGCACGGTATGGCACGGCACGGGTCGTCCTGACATGGAATGGCAGTTTGGCAAGGCTCAGCACTATGAGGCACGGCTCAGCATGGCCCAGGCGGGCATGGCTCAGCATGGCACGGCATGGCACGGCATGGCACGGCATGGCACGGCGCGGCAGAGCAGAGCAGGGCACAGCACAGCTTGGAATGGCTCAGCGTAGCTCAGCACAGCACAGTTTGGCCCGACGAGCGCAGCACAGCACGGCGCAGCTCGGCACGGCGCTCCCAGCCCTGTGCACGTCCCAGCCCGGCCCCGCTGCGCTCACGTGGTGATCTGCGTCTCCATGAAGATGAGGATGAAGACGAGGACGGCGGGGAGGCCGCTGGCCACCATCATCCACACCGGGAAGTCGTTCCTCTCGCCCAGCGGGTTGATCACCCAGCCCCGCTTATCGGGCGCCGTCACCGAGAACCCGCTGGGCACGCTCAGCTTCTGCAGGGCGCAGGAGGCTGTGGGGTCACCGGCTCCCACGGGGAGAGGGCTGCCCCCATCCCACAGCGGGGACCCCTGCAGCGCCCAACCCAAAGGGCTCCAGGCCCAGATAGCGGGGGGCAGCATCCCATGAGGGGCCGGGGGAGCGCGTGGGGGTCCTGGGCGCTGACCTGCGTGTAGGTGTCGCGGATGCTGTAGTCCACCAGAACCATCACCAGGATGGCGATGGGCACCCCGAAGTCCCCGATGAGGCGCCGGATCTGTTGGAAGGACGGAGTCAGCCCGGCCCCGAACCCCCCGACCACCCCTGGGCTCTCTGTGCCCCCAAAGCCGGGCTCACCCCGTGCCCACGCCGCCGTCCCGCCTGCCCCACGCACCCGTCCAGGGAAGAAGCGGCTGTTCTTGAACTTGCGCAGGAAGAAGGCGATGAAGAAGGTGCCGGCCATGAGCACCAGGGAGAGCAGCGCCGTGTTGGGCTGCCCCGTCACCTTGGTGGCCCCGCGCTGCTCCGTGCCGTTGGGTGCCGCGGTGCCGTTGCTCCACACCGTGCCGTTGGGCTGAGCGCAGCCGTGCAGGGGGTGCTCCTGGAAGATCTGTGCAGTGCGGGGCGTCAGGAGCATCCCGGCCCCGCAGCACCCGCAGCACCCGCAGCACCCGCAGCACCCGCAGCACCCGCAGCACCCGCAGCACCCGCAGCACCCGCAGCACCCGCAGCACCCGCAGCTCACCTTGCCCAGCTTGGAGAAGGTCTCGTAGATGAAGATGAGGGAGATGAGGAAGGAAAAGATCTCCTGGGTGAAGCGCGAGACGAAGCGCACCAGGAAGCTGCCCTCGCAGGCCACCATCAGCAGCACGATCAGGATGAGCCAGAAGCCGATCCACACGCGCCCCACCAGGTACTCCAGCCCGTTGGATGTGCAGAACTGCAGCACAGACGGGGTGAGCGGGGGCGGCCATAGGGACCCCACAGCCGGGAGCAGCCCCTGCCCACCGTGAAGAAGGCCTCCTCGAAGACGAGCAGCGGCCCCGAGAAGCCAATGATGAGCAGGGGCTGCGCACCCAGCAGGCAGAACAGCACGCCCTGCAGCGACGTGGAGATGATCAGCTCTGACACCCCGATCAGGCCGTGCGTCTTCTCCCCTGCGGAAAGCACGGGGTCAGAAAAGGCCCGTGGGGTTGGGCCAAGGCCCCTCACTACGCACCGCACTCCTCCGTGCCGCGCAGCGCTCTGCACAGCTCCATAGGGCGCTCTGCACAGCTCCATAGGGCG